AAATTGTAAATGAGTTATTATTGAAATCGCAAACCTACTTATTGTTGAAACACACACAAATCTACCTATAACTAAACATCAACGAACATGGCTGTAAACCATCCCCTTCGTTTCACTTCCGTGAAACTCCGTTCCTGGTACATAAATTTCAGAATTTTAAAATCAATAAATACATACCAGACGTAAAATCAAGACAATCAACAAATAATATATCATAAGAATATATAAACAAATTTAACAGAAGTACAAGAGATGGGCGTAAAATCTTATATAATAGTTTTTTGAATGAAATTATTAAAACATGAAAATAATTTTTGAATGAAATTATTAAAACGTGAAAATAATTTCAGAATTTGTAGAAATAGCTCCGTGAATCTCCGTGAATCTCAAACTATTATTTTAATTGTTCAATTGAGGATTGTACGAGATTTTTAATGCTTATTCAATTTAAAATTAATCAATTTCTTTAGATTAATACGTTGTACAGTTTAGAATATTCTGAAACACTATACCTCTGTTAAGTTTACTGCTTGGATTACAAAAAGTTATATATCTTGCTATTATTTTTGTTTACAAAGAAACTTCACAGATCATGCCTGATCTTGCAATTTAATTGGTCTTAACATCACTCCGTTAATTTAATGAAATTTATATAAAAGAACAGTTTGAAATGAACTAGCATTATACAATTATTTCGAATTACAATGAAATTAACGAAACAAACTTTTATCTTCTTCCTTTACATTTGTTTATCTGTTTTAACTTCGACGTCAGCATTGCAATGTGAATCTTGTTCTTGTAAGTGAAATAATATATTTGCTGGTTTTAAATTTTTAACGATAATAAATTAAATTTAATTAATTTCAGGGTGTAATGGAAGAGGATATTGTAAGTATTATTTTTGTTATTTTTTTTAAAGAATAAAGATATTGATACATAATAATTTAGGAGCCTGTTCGGGATCTTATTACTACTGCAATTCTGGCACTTGTACAAGTTCGATGGTTCTCACTAACGAATGTACTCGTGGTTATACATGTACTACTGATGGATGTGTATTACGTGGTTGAATTAAAAGTATTTTTATCGGGTCATAATCTTAGTCAATTAATGTAGCCACGCTTATACTTTGTGATTGATACATATTATGTGGTTGAATTAAAAGTTTTGACATAGTGTCATTATCTTAATAAATTTTAAATATGCAGCTTAAAATTATATGCAAATATAGTGGTTATGATAAATTTACAGAAAATATTTATTTTTATCAGATAGTTTTTAAATATTAAATTTTTACTTTTATTTTTTAAACAAATGTAAATTTTTTTATTTTATATAATCAAACAATGATCAGGTCATTTTCATATGGTCACGATTTACAAAATTTAACAAAGACACATGATTTTGTAACAATGAATAGATTATAATAGTAGATAAGTTGATGAGTTTAGTTATAGGTAGATTTGTGTGTGTTTCAACAATAAGTAGGTTTGCGATTTCAATAATAACTCATTTACAATTT